GTAAATTGCACTGGTCTGTCTGATGCGCCACACAGTCAGACACCCCATTAGGTTTTCCTCAGATTATCTTTTTGGGAAAAAAAAAACCTGTTGGGCAACTTTGAAAACGAGTCGCTGCAAAAGTTAAAGTATTAGTTGTGATATTTCATCTCTTTTATCTGGAACACTTAGAACAACTGCTGATTCATAATATGGCTCTCCGTCTGGTAACTTTTCCAATTGCTTGGACTCCCTGTTACGGGTTTTTACAAAGATCGAAATACGGAGATCTTGACATTTCACTTGAAATGTATTATTAAAACGAAATTATCAGGCTGGAAGAGGAGCAGCGGGAACGGCAGAAAGTTGCTGAGGAAATGAAAAAAGTTGCAGAACAAAATGAAGAGCTTTCTTCTGTTAAGCAACAGGTTCAGTTTTGGCTTATTTTTTCCTTAAAAGTATGCTGCGTTAAATGGTAAATCGAATTGTTTTGCGCGTACCATGTTACCCGATACCTGAATTGGCAACTGCTTCAGCACTGGTGTCTGTTCGATACGCTTTGAAATGGTGTAGCCGATTACCAGGCCTCTTTCTTTGTTCCTTCATTTCGTGTTTGTTTTGACCAATGCTTCATTGCTTGGCGACCAGCCTTTCCATTTTGCGACGCTGCCGTTTTCTTCATCTTTTGAAGGAACTAGTAGCTCAGTGGCTTTCTCGACTGAAGCACTTTGGCAAGCCTTTAGTTATTCGAAGAATCAACGTTGTATATTGAGCGTCACCGTCTCGTCTTCAAATATTGTTATTCTCAGACTATGGTAAGGTAACCTTCCACGCACTAGAGCCCTTCTATATATCAGTATTACGACTATATTTTGTGCATAAATGTATATGAATATTAGTGTTCATACATATATATATATGTATAAAAGCTGCTGGACGTTGTGTATTAGTTGGTGACACCTGCAAAAAAATGACCACTCGGTTGCCCTCCGAAAAGATAACGTCCGTAGGTCGAGAACTGGTACAGTTTAGTTGGGCAGTTTGACATCACTAGCATCAGACTCGGACTACTTGTCTGGACAGTCTTGTTAAACACAGCGTTGTTGGTAGGCTGCAAAAATTAGAGATCTGGAATTGTTTTTCGCAAATTATTGTCAAGGAAAGACAAAGCGTGTGTCAAAAAAAAGGCATTAAATTGAGGCGGGTCTGTACGAAACGGTGCTAAAAAATGAAGCTGTCAAGCTCTGCATTTGAGCAAGAAAATACGGCAAGTCTTCAAAACGAGGTAGCACTTCACTCGTTGAAAATCCGCTCTAAGCAAGCATCTTTTCAAAACTTGCAATTTAAGCTGGA